TTGCCTAACATGAAAGCTCCCTTTATTGAATCATCTAAATAAATCAACATTAGTCGATATGATGCAGTAGGTACGGCTCCATAGCTGTTGTTGAGGGTAATTTCCTTTTTGTGACACCTCATTTAATTTTGAATTGCCTTCAATTATTTAGAAAACAAGTTCTTTAATCACAAAACTCATGTTCGGATAATTAAACAGATTTTTGAATATACGCTTTAAAACTGTTTTTAATAACCATTTTAATTTCAATAACTACCCTGTAATTCTTCAACAATATTGCTTGGTTAGCTTGCAAATCAGTCATAGTCAGGTTAAAATACCTTATTGCTATGATGTGGCTGTGATTCTAAGGGAAACCACTTAGCTGGTTACCTTGGGGATACAGTAACACAACACATTATAATAACATTTTCTCACTTCGTGCCTGGATGATGGCATCATTTTTATAGGCTTAAGAATAATTTAAAAAATACTTGTTTAAGGTTAAAAGCATCCTAATTATAGATCAAATGCATCCATTAAACACAAGCGCTGTATTTCCTCAAATTAATTTAATAATTTCTTTTACATGTTTTTCTCCTCAGACTTGAAGTAAAAAAGGAGCGCATTCTACCTCCACATAATAACACTGAATTACATAAATGAAAAAAAACTTCTTCATGAGAACTTTAACCATTTTCTCTTTGAAAAGACAACTAATAATTCTGATCATAAGAGAAGCGTCATTCTTAAAGAATCACATTTTCCCGCAACTGACATAAAAATCTAAGTGTAACGTTCACTTCATTCATTCATTCATTCAGGAATAAATTTGCATTTAGACAGATATTTTGTCATCATTGCATACACTGCAATGCAATCAAATGTCATCTAGAGATCATCAAGACAAGCAGAATAGATCACTACTGTCATTAGCAAATTAGGAAAGAAATGTCAATTCACAGATGGAAATGAAGATGGGGCAAAAAAAACAGCATGATTTCAAATGCCAAGACTGCAAATTTATGTTGAGCAGGTAGATGTTGTGATAAAAAAAGCTACACTGAACTGTGTTTATCATCCTCCCATGGCAGAATCTGTAATATGTGAGACCAACACAAGACAAACACAAGACGGGCGCACTTGTGTAATGTTCCATTGCCTGTTCCATCCTCTCACTAACCCATCCACCTGTCTTCAACCTGCCACAACCAATAAATTATGTTCATTTGGTGGAGCCAAATACAAAAAAAACAGAATGAGAAATGGGTCATGCTCTGAGGGATCTGGACGTTTTATGCACATGCAAATGGAAATCCTAAAAGAAAAGTTACTTTTAACCCCTAACAGGTATCAGAGTGTCAGTTCAGTTATATGTGGTCATAAAATGTAAGAGTATGGGGTTATTCCTTCATTTATATTCATATTTAAACTCTTTTTTTATTGTTGTGAAGAATATTTAAAATTTGTATGTCATTTGTAGAAGAACAGGAGGGTTTTGTGCTTGTCCACATTCAGCAACCCTGAAACTTGAAAAGATCTTTTGGTGAAAAATCAAATGAAAGATGATGAACAAAGGTTCTGAACAAAGGCTATTAATCACCGACAATGCCTTCAGCTTAACGTTTAATATGCAGCAGATTTAACAACACTGTCCTTCATTGTGATATTGTGGTTTTAATATCATAAAGTCAGCTTTTCTTCTGCGTGTGTGTGAAATCCCTGCCTTGCAAACTGGGGCAGCTGAGTATGCCATTTGCTTTTGCTTTTTAATTTTTTTTCTGAGATAGTGATATCTTGTCTTTGAAGGTCTTGAACTTAGGATACCTTCTATGCCTTATTTTGAAGCCTTGAATCTGGCTTTGCGCCACTGGCATTTTGGTATTTCTTGTTTAACATCAAAAGGCTGCCATCTTTGAACAAGAAGGTCAGACTGGACCGTAATAGTTTGATATAGGATGCAAATAATTAGCAATGAAATGACCATCTTCACACCGAAGAACTCAGTAGTAGAAGTATATTGGAACCAGAGAAGTCTGAAATCCAAATCTACCGGTCTAGATATTAATCATCAAATACTGATTTAACATGTATTTAGCTATTATTTTCAGGTACTTGGACATCACTATTCCCCTCCTCTGCAGACACTATTTTGTTATAGACAGTCTAAATTTTGAAGATTAACATTGTTAATTATAACATATTGGCGTCTGGTCTGTTTATTTCCAATGTTTACCATTTTTGTTGCTCCCGTCTCCATCTCTTCTTTTCTTCTGGGATGCAGCAGATGTGAAGCAACAGATGGATTTTAAACCTACTACGTGTCAATGACCACGTCGTGCCACCCAAAAGCAGAACCTGCTTGCATGAAGCCAGGAGTAGATCCTTGCTGAGATTACAGCTTCATGACATTTTGAGAAGAGTGGTCCCTCTACCCTGGAGCGCTTGTTTAGTTATGTCACCAGAAAAAAAAAAGGAAAAGAAAGCTGGCGGTCCCTTGTTTGTATTAAATCACTCAAGCCGAACAATAGAGAGTTTTCCAGCCCCCAGGGAAAGAACTTTCAGTTTTTTTCTCCTATTAAAGGGTTGTTTTACTCATTTAGAGAACCTTATTTCTCAGTAAAACTCAGAAAAAAAGATTGCATTATTTGATTTTTAGCTCCTCTAAATTGTTACTTTTTATGCAAACTCAGACAGGAAGACGTTTTAGTTAATGAAATTCCTCTTGGTTTACAATATCTCAGATATTAAATGGCCCTGGGTCACTGACACCAGGACAATAAAGTGACCCAATAAAGCAATCTTTATTGGGTCACTTTTCTTGGGGTAGGAGGACCTCAGAGTCACCAATTTGATTGGATGGTGTGAATCATTAGCTTTTTCTTTGTCTCTTTAAGAAGCATTTTCTCAAAAAATATATTAGCCTCTAGTTTGTGTTATTTAGACTACTTTACACTGAAGTGATAATAATATCCTAAGGCAGTGAGAAGAGCATGCTTTTTAAGTCTGATACTAAATATGCATCCACTGAATGTTTTTACTTGGTATTGGCTTATTTCTTATGTCCTAATTAGGAAACGGTTTTAATGATACCAACACAGTAATTATGCACATAAACAACAGAAGTGAGAGTAGACATAAAATGCATTTGGTTTTCTCCCGAGTACAGTAATCTGGGGGGTGCTCAACATATATACAGATTCCAATGACAGGCTTATGGCAACTGTGCCCTAATGAGCACTGAAAATCCAGAAAAGTGAAGTTTTTGCAGAAACGTTGGCTTTGTTATGGGAAACATTTAAGACATCTCAGCTTTCAGTGAAACTGCAGTCGGTGTAAACAGCACGCTAACCGGTGACTTTTAAACGCTTGCAGAAAGTGAGGTCATTTGATTGCCGTCGTATTTGGATTCCCTCTATAAATGTTACCCATGTTTAAAAAGCCAGACTGCGGTATAGATCATGCCTACACATGTGCAGAATCAGGATTAATCACACTTATCTTGCACTTGGAGAGCAGTACACACACTGTATAGACACATTTTCAGATTTTTTTTAACATTGTTTCCCTGTTAGCATACACCACTCAGTCGTGGAAATCAAAACTACTCTCATGGCAAGAAAGTATCACTGCTCATGTCCATGCTTTCAGTTCCTCACAGCCACCCATCTTGTTCTGTTCTGTGATAGGCTACCCAGGTAAAACCACTGAGGTTTCAGCCATTTCCCTATTTAGAAAATCGGTTACAGCAAAGCTTTAGACTTTCCATTTCCTGAAATCGCTTTCAATTGTTGTTTGTCCAAGCTATATGACTACAATTCAAACGCGGCTTGAATTCACTGCCTATATGTCAGAAGGTATGAAACTGCTGTATTGTGTGATTATCGTCATTCAAGATTTGAGTTTTTTATTGTCATTGAGAATGGTAAATCGACAGTTTATAGATAAAGATCAACCCTCAGGCAGCCAGCAGACAGAGGCTTTTCCTTTTGAGTAAAGGGATTTCCTGTAAGTGGAAAAGTTTTGTTTTATTCTAAAAAAATGTCTGCTTAGATTGACCTTTCTGAAATATTAGTGCCTGTTGTCTTATTCAGGAATGACATTGCGGTATGTGTAAAACTGTAATAGTAGCTCTGGAATTATCCTGTCTTTTGTTGAATCCTCCTGATGTTTTAAGTTGACATTTATCTTTGAAAACTTTGATTTCCAATTAATATTTTTCTGTACTGATGCCAAAGCTCTGATGCTGGCTTAATTTCGTCTACTAATTTTGATACTTTTATTTTTTTAATCTGCTGTGTTACTGTTTAAATCTGTGAGATGTTTGCATGTGGAAGAACTAACTGCTGAAGGAATTACATTCAAAAGTGCTTTGGCATTGTAAGAATGACTCTTTGGCTGCTAGATGATGCAGGAAATTAAGATGAAAAGACAACTTTGTGTTCTGATCTATCCTCCTGTTCCCAGTTTGATCTCTTTGTTGCTGCCGTACCAACCCTGGGACCTGTAACACTGGGTTAAATAATTCTGCTCTTTTTGGCCTATCTTTGTCCTCTTTGATAACACTCTGTGATGTAGTTCATGCGGGATATTAAGATCATTTTGATGTCTTATGGTTTAAAGTCATATGATTTATCTCGGAGCGTGAAAGTTTGGCCACTGAGTTACCTTGTTCTAACAAATTCTCAATCTCAAAAGTTGCAATGTATTCAGTTCAAGGTTGTACATGACCTGTATATATTGAATATGCATGAGTTGAATATTGAATACATCAGTTGGAGCTGAATTTTTGCTGCAATGTACATCACAGTGGAAGGTTTAAATAAGTTAACATTCTTAAATTTTCATTCCTTTTCAAATCGTCAGAGAATATCCATCCATCCTGAGGGGAGCCGGAACCTATGCCTGCTGTCAGTAGGCACACCCTGGAAAGGTCAGCAATCCATCAAAGCGCCACAAAGAGTCAGACACGCACACACGGGGACAACTTTCACACAGGAAAGGCCTTTTGTTCTGAGAATATGGCGGCAAAACCTCATTTGGAAACCCCTGACATCCAGAGGCAGCCCACCGTGTCGCATACCCACCATGCCTGTGTTCCTCTTGCTCTGAGGGACAGTGAGAGTTACCACGTGTTCATCAGCTACAGCAGCTCGGACTCCAAGTGGAGCCATTCCCTCGTCGAGCATCTGGAGTCCCGCGGCCTGCGCGTCTGCTGCCACGTGCGCGACTTCACCCCCGGCCGCACCGTGCTGGAGAACATGTCCAAGTGCATCCACGAGAGCCAGAAGGTCCTGCTGGTTCTCAGCCAAGAGTTCGTGAGGAGTCGCTGGTGTCTCCTGGAGGCCAACATGTCTTTGTTCAGAGACTGTCTGGAGAGGAAACCGCTGATCCCCGTGATGCTGGAGCCGGGAGTCCTGGTACCCCTTCACCTCTGCCACCTGACTTACCTCGAGGCCAGCGATCCTGAGTTTCCGAACAAGCTGCTCAAAGTTCTCTGCACCCCCAACCAGCAGCTTCAGGGTTCCACTGTTGTCCCTTTCCAACCTCCCACCATCTACAACGGGAAGGCCCTGCAGCCTTTGATCGCTGTCAATGACGAGGGACTCTATAAATGGGATGCCGGCCAGTTCAGTGACATGGAGGTGCCCGAACAGCTGCGCCTGATCATTGAGGACCAGAACAAATACAAAGAGGCAGTGAGGATTCTCAACCGTGTCTCTCAAACTAAAGTATGGCTGCGACCTGTCTGGGCCAGAGTACTAGTCTACACCATAGGTACAATATCTATTTTACTGTTGGCAGGCAACTTTTCGTATTTGGCTCTTATGACATATATGTATTTTTTTCAGGATCAGGCTATATTGTATTCTGTTGTTGTCATTATCTTTTTCTGCGTTGTATTGGTGATGATTATTCAGCTTGGTCTTTGGCAAAAGGAATGTGAGAAGTATATAGTGGGAGAACTAAAGAAAGCGGTCAGTCAGGCAAACATTATACTTTCTCAGGAGAAGGTGCTAATGGGCTGTCAGTCCAATTCCAAAATCTACGTGGTGTATGTTTGTCTGGATGGTTGCAAACGACGGTTTGAGGAAACGTTTCTCAACCAGGTTAATGCAGAGGTAATGTTTGAAAGAGCTTTGCTTCTGTTCTCGTGTGGCTATGCCTGCTGCCTCGCCAAAAGACATTTCCCCCTTCCCCAGCCTCACACAAGTGGTCACCTGGAGGGAGGTGTGTGTTTCTGCCAGTATGTCTCCCAGCAGCTGAGCAGAGGAAAATGGAAGTAGAAAGAAAAGCAAGCAAGGACGTAATAAAAAGCCACAGGCACAGCAGTAAAACCTGTTACTTAATGTTTATAACAACGCAGTTAATTTTAGAACTAGTAGCATTTTGAATACCTGATTTTGTCAAATTCTAAAATTGAATTTTGCTAAAAATCTGCCAACCATCCATTTTCGTAACCACTTATCATGATATAAAAAACAAAAAAACTAGAGCTCCTTGGTTCCTTTGACATAGATCAGTTAAACTGATTTGCTATTCATCACGTGTGTCGGTTTGAAGACACTATAGCTTGTGAATTTAAATGTACATTGGAAACCACTAGGAAATCATTAACTCACTGAAGAAAATAAAGCAAAGGACATTGAAGTTACTTTGTAGAAAAGGGGCCATTTGCATAATTAACTTTTTATCAGTAAAACCAAATGAGTCTGAGGTGGAAAGCTGTTACTATGGGATACTGACAGTGAACATCACATAGCTTCATAACTTTGTATAAATTTCTGTATATATACATACATATGATCCATGAAAAATATAAAGAAATTTATTTTTGTTAGAAGTCTTTATTTGGCCCTAAATAAACGGAAATAATTTTTCTGTCTCAAAATTATTGTTGTGTAGTCTTCTGCCCGCTGTTATCAGGTTAATCTGGTTGTGTAGCAACGTTTTTACCATTCAATGATACAGAAGGTCTCAGTTTAAAAAGATTTCAGGAACCGTATGTATGACATATCATTCATACAGCAATGTAGGGTTAACTGATCCCTTTAGGGAAATTCAGTTGTCCATCAGCTCACAGAAAATAGAAAAGACAGACATGAGACAAACCTCCATGTGGTCCATTTTCCATTTTCATTGAGATGAGCCATTGCTATCCAGCCAATGAGCATGTTGTGGAGATGGTTGTCTTTATTTTCTGGCATTGCTTGCCCCTTCACTCCCACAGAGCATAGTGTGCCCAGCGTCAGGGCGATCACAGCAATTTTCCGGCGATTTTCACCAGTTTCTGGGTAGTCGTCACCATCGTCTGTTGGGACATGTCCTCGACATGTCCTCGACATGTCCTCGACATGTTCCACATCTCTCTGCAAACACCGACTACCTCAACCTCCAGAGGAGAAGCAATTGCCTCTGGTCCACTGGCACTGGCTGAGTGGAAAGCTTGGTCAGTGAAAACCCACCATTTGTTTGTTGTTAACAATGGTCAGATGTTGACAGTTTTTCATCACCTGACTGTTTCAAGGCCTCCACCAGTTTTCTATACTTGTCCTCCTGTCTATTGCTAATCACTGAATCACTGAATAGATGCGGCAAAATCGGGAGCAAGAAGTAAGCCAGGATAGTCCTGGCTATCCTTTTATGGTGCCACAGCGATGGGTACCACTATCCCAGTCACAAATGTCTTTGGTCTGACACAGTGAGGTCTTCCTCTCAGGTGGTCTGTGATGCAGTAGATCACAGAGGGGCCCACATGTGTGTATACAAATTTGAGCGCCAGCACGGAAGATCTCATGGGATTAAAGTCCATCCATCGATTATCAATACCACTTATTCCCAGTGAGGTCTCTGGAGCCTATCCCAGCTGACCATGGCCGCAGGAAATGCAAGAGAGATACACTCACATTGACTCTTAAGGGGAAATTTAGAGAGTTCAATTGCCCTGACGCATGTTTTTGGAGGTAAAGTCGATCCAGGCACCCTTTCACGGTGAGGCAACGGTGAGATTACCACATCACAAGCCACTGGTTCTTCAGTAACTGTTCTGACTATTGTGTTTTTTTTCTTTATGAAAATAATGTCTAGTAAGGAAAATATACAATTTCCTATCACTTTGCTTATTTCTATGGATTATCTGGCCTACTTCCAAGTCTAAAAGGATGTATGTTCCATTAATTGGTTCCAAATGTATTCTACAAGTGAGTATGAGTCTGCATGGCTGTTTGTCTCTGTCATGGATTGGTGACCCCTGACGGGTTACGGTTGACAGTTTAAGACAGATGTATTAAACAAGATTGTAGTTGAACAAATACTGAAAGACTAACATGTTGAATGTTGACACAATTAGTCGTGCACCCATGAATACATTGGATAAAGATCAATTCAGCACATATGTTAGGATCTGTACGTTTTCATTCTGTCTGTGAGTCTTAAAATTCAAGGTCCGGCCTGTTTTTTTTTGTCTTTTTTTTTTTGTTGAACAGCTCACCATGTTCAACCCATTGCTTTCATGGTCTGCGTCTGATTGCATGCTTAAATATGTTGTTGGCTGTATGGAAATGTACTTCTCTGGGGGATAATAAAGATATGCCTACCTTACTGTCCAATGGAAATGACCCTGTTTTGTTGGTGTAGCAAAAAATTCAAAAATAAAAGCAATAATTAGATAAGGGGGGAAGTTGATTTGAACATTAAGAGGCCTTTGACATTAAAGCTACAATAACACATATTGTCAAAGCTACACTATGGTCAAATTTGGAAATGACTAAGGTCTCACCTACATTAAACTGGGAACAGACATCAAGCAAAATCCAGCTAGAGCCTACTGACAATGGTAAAGTCGCAAAGGATGCCCTGGACAGTTCAGCAGTCCATCCCAGGGCAGCACAGAGACAAACAACCACATAGACTCATATTCACTCTTAGGGGCATTTTAGATGGTTCAGTTAACCTAACATCTATGTTTTTGGACGGTGCAAGGAAGCCGGAGAACCCGGAGAGAACCCACGCAGACACAGGGAGAACATTCAAACTGAACATAGACTGGACCCGGGGACTCAAACCGGGAACTCTCTTGCTGTGCGGTGACGGTGCTAGCAATTTGGTGGAATTGAATAACTTGTGTCACTTGAATGCCTCTGACCTTAAGGAGTTATTGCACACTTATGGTGTTTGTCCACTAATGCCTACACATAAAGGCATCTGGCCCCACTAAACAGTTACAATTACAATAGCTCCAACATGGCTTGGTTTCATTAGGGATAAAACTGCAGACTGCCGGGTGCCTATTGGGCAGGCAGTCAAATTATTAAATGGCAATGTTGTCACTTAAACGCCATCCATTTTAATAACTGGACAACAACCAGTGTCTGATTTAATTATTTCTGTGATCCTCGTTGTCATAAATGCCTGATACACAAACCAGCGGACTGTTTATCGTGGCCAAGATGTCATTCATTGTTGTCTCGCGCTTGTGTCGCCAATAAATGGCGTCCCACGCCTTTCGGCCCGTCTTCCAACCTGCTCATGATTTGTAACCATCCAGAGCTGAGTAGGTACTCGTGGAAAAGTGCGATAGTTCTAGAAATGTGAATATCTAACTGAAAGCATAACAGGAACCTTCCACCAAGGGTATACTGCAGAAATGTACACATTTACAAGAAAATGTGGACTCATAGAAGAACCAAACAATCTAAATTATGCAAAGATACAAGCAACAGAATAGAACAGCTCGTCTCACACACCAACACACACACACACAGAGCGCAGCCATTCAAGTGAATCTATACATTCTCCTGTATATCAATCCACATCAACCAATAGTAATGATAACCCATTTCTTTCTTCGTAGCCCATTTCTGTAAACATCATATCAGTCTCAGTGAAACAATAGAGCAGTTTACCATGTTTCATGTTGCCATGGGCCAGGTGTGTCTTATCCTGACTACGGTTTTGGCTTTTTCTCCTGTTCAATGTCCAGTCTATATGAAAAAAAAAAGAACACAAAAACTCCTCTGGAAAATGGCCGTACTGACAATATATTTGTCCTTCCTTCAGCTGTTCTGCAATAAAAAACACAGCATGACTAAGTAAAGATATAAAGAAAAATTTAAGGAGCAACAGTGAAGACTAAATACTCAGTGCTTGGCTGACCGACTGCCTGAGCTGAACTACCAGAGGAGCAGCAATAAAACGGCATTAACAGACTGACTGGAACTAACTTCGTAGGATACACACTTCTCCATGCCTGCAGGACAGATTGAGCTGAATTTTCTTTTAAGTTCCTGGCTGGAAATTACAGCACAGAAGACTTTTTGCTCACTGATTGACAACAAAGTGTGATACATTTTAACATTATTTGTCGCACATCATAGTTTTGGCCTGATCCATTTTCATTTAATTTGCCAATTAACATTTCATTCATTCTTTCAATTTCATTAACATTTTCTTTTTTTTTTAAAAGTCGAACTCTTCGACAGAATGGATTGAGATAAGAAGAGCACACAGAGCAATTACGTAAAATCAGAAATGAATGCATGGATAATTAATTTCTCAGTGATTACTTCATTTTTATTGCTGTGACGTTTAAACACAATTGAAAGGCAAATTATAGTCATATATTTGTGCGACATTTAGAATCTTAAATCCTTTTGTTATAGCTATGTTTTGTCATTGTGCAAATTTATATGTAAAGGTAATACATTACCTCAAGTGTACTTAGCATTGTTAAGATGCTACACAGGGCTGTGGCCTAATTTTAAAGCGTGAAGCAAGGA